TTCTTCCCGGAATCTTAAAGTTTTTTTCACTCTGGCCAGTTTGCACAGCTCTAGTGGAGCAGCAATCAGTTTTGTTGGCAAAAAAATACAACCCAACAATTTAGCAATAGATATGTCCCCTGCAAAATGTCTCTAGTACACTCATCTCTCCCTTCAGTCATGCACACGTCCCTGATGATCCCCAACATATTTCGACCATACAGAGTTGTACTGGACCCTCTTTTTCATAAAGTAGTGTGAATGGCCATACAGAATGCTTTAGTTAGGACTGCATAAAATTTGATAAACATCCTGCATGTTCAAATATAGTCTGAATCACCACCATAGTGATTTCCATCCATGGAGTAGTCTTTTTAAAAAAAAAAAAATACGTGCTATTCCAAAGCAAAAAACACCCCACAAGCAATAATTCATTAGATTGCAGCTTCTATTAAACTTGGTAGAAGTCATTTAGGTCAAACATAAAAAGAATGTTGTAAATCAACTCTGACAAGACACTGTAATTCAAGTAATTGCTATTCTCTTGCTGCTTATTGTCCATATTTCATTTCGAAAACTAATAAGTTTGAGCACAGTGCATCTGTGAGAACTTTGTGACAAAGTGAGGATGTTGTTCTTCCAAGTAGATGTTACGGTTCTGGCACATCCATGTTCCTATACCCACTGCACATCACATGCCTTACTACCTTCTCTAAAACACAACAATTTATAAACTGTTAATCATGCAAATAGGGTTAGTGATGGAATGAGAGATAGAATGGTTCTGGGCACTGATAACTGACCACAAGGTGGCTGGTTTGAATCTAGACCAGATTGGTAGGCACAGAAACATATTATCTTTCTTATCCCTATGAGGAATGATGACAGGTTCAGAGGGGTAGCCATGTTAGTCTGTTTCTTCAAAAACAAGGAGTCTGGTGGCACTTTAAATACAGTAAAGCTCCAATTGTCCGGCATCCCGTGGTCCGGCACTCCCGATAGTCCGGCACCAACTGGAACTCGGAAGTGCTTCGGTCAGCCAGACAATTGGAGCTGCTGTGAGCCCCATGGGCGCTCGCAGCTGGGAAAGGGAAGAGGAGAAGAGAGGAAGAGGATTATACCACTGACAGGTCTGCCGGGACCTGCACTGTGTCTGGCCGGGAGGTGGGCGGGGAATGGCGCAGCGAGGGGCGAACCCTCTGCCGTTTTGCAGGAAGGTGGGGAAAGCCCCGTGCAGCTGCCGGTGGCAGGCCAGCTGGGGAAACCCAGCTGCCGAGGAAAGGGAGCAAGAGCTAAATCCACGAACTTGCCCCATTCCAGCTACGCTCAGCCCCGTGCCGCTGCCAAGAGTTTCCGGGAAGGGAGCGGGCTCCCCACCTCCCAGACTGCAGTAGTTATCGCTGAACAGGGGGTGAGAGGCGGCACCAGCTGCTCTGCTCCGCCGCTTCCCCAAGTCTGCCGTTCCCGCTGCTGAAACTGATGAGCGGCAGACTTGGGGAAGCAGCAGAGCAGAGCCTTCCTGCAAAATGGCGGAGGGGTTTGCCCCCCGCCGCGCTGTTCCCCGCCCACACCCCAGATGAAGTGCAGGTTCCAGCAGACCCGTCACAGCCCCCAGCCGAAGTACCTCCCGATACTCCAGCATATCTGATAATCCAGCACCACCTAGGTCCCAAAGGTGCCGGATTATCGGAAGTCTACTGTACTAACATTTATTAGGGCATAGGCTTTTGTGAGATACATATAATTTCCTCAGATGCTGAAGAGAAAAGAAAAAAGGACGGGATACAGAGATAGGAGTGTGACAGCAGTGCAGATGGGGATAACCTCCAACAGTAATGAGAAGGTGAGAATATATGAAAAGGAAATTACACATTGTAATATGAGCACAACTCCATGTTTCTATTTAAACCTTTTTTCAGAGCATCAAATTTGCATGCAAATTCCAGTTTAGCTAGTGGTCTCAGAATAGTTTTTATGGGACAAGTTGGAACATTGAACGTTCAGGTATCAAACCTGGTTACCACTTAGAGTGCCAGGCAAGTTTAATAGGAAAGTTTCAAACATTGTAACTATTAGAAGCTAGTGACCAGGAAAGTTCTGAAGTCTGAGTTACCATTAGCTACCTGAACAGCACATCTTAACTAGAATGCCTCTCCAGATTATTTTTTTTTTAATGTTGCAGATTATCTATTGCCTGTGGAGGTTTTAAAGCCTCTGTTGAAAGGATCCAATCACACATGACTTCAACAATTATGACTGACTTTATTGTAGGAAAAAAGAAATTGTTCACTTCACTCAGCCACAATGATAGCTTACAATATTCATTACCGTGAATTCTTAAAAATTTCACAGAATTCAATTTTTAGTCATTCACTTATTATACTGCAAAATCATTTGCAAGTCCCATTCCATTAAACACATAGAAAACATCCACTTATTTTGTTTTTCATAAGATTCATACATTTGATACACAAAACTAGCCCTGGAACGAACAATTGACAATCAGTACATTCTCTCCCACTCGCTAGATTTTATTCAACCAAATCTGAGCATTTCAGAAAAAAGTAAATGCAATTCTTCATTAACATTAATTTGAAAAAAAATTAATGAGCATGAAATCCCTCTGTCTTCCTAATGCATTCAAGTCCTCAGTCATTGTTCTTTAAAAATTATCTGCACTGATTTTAACGGTGCTTTATGTTGGAGAGAAAACTTAATGCAAGAAAGGAATTTTGCCTTTAACAATCCAGGGGGTTATAGAGTTATGATATAGGAGGGTAGATTTACAAGTGAAATCCTTATCTACTTTTTCAAAGTTCTCAGAGGGTGTAGCTATGAGGTAGATTTTCCTTGCCAGCTGATTATTCATGTCTGAGATTGGTATGTTGTGCATACAAAAGAAGGGCTTGATCTAATACCCATTCAAGTCAATGGAAAGAAGCATTGGATCAGATCCTAGGATGTGCCTTCTGTGCAGTTACAGCTCCGATAGACATACCTGCACTAGCTACAAACCTGCACTAGCTACAAACTAGATAGCATGCTTAACAACAGTAGAGAAGACAGGTGCCAGAGACTTCAGCATGGGCTGTGTAAGCCCAAATAGAGTTCTGGGTACATACTTGAATTCCTAGACCAACTCACGCTTCTTCATCTTCAGCCATGCTAGTGAGATTGAAAGAACTGAAGACAAACCTTCAACACACCCTGATTAAGGGTGAAATGCTCGCTCTACTCCTATCAAGAAGAATTTTTTCTCTGACCTGAATGAAGGCAGAATTTCATCCCGAAACTCCACCACAGTCACTTAATATCCTTCAACCTCTAATTCCTTGATCTCCTATTGGTCTACACCAAGGCTTTATTTCAAAATAACTCCCCTTAGCTCAAATTTATAAGTAAAGCATCTACACTACCAAGTCCGTTATTTCAAAATAAGGGGTAGCTTATTTCAAAATCTGCACCCCTGCTTTTCTCAGGGAATAACATTAATTTCAAAATAGTTATTTCGAAATAGCGTTCGTATGGATGCTCCAGTGCTGCTATTTCGAAATAACTACTCTCCAGAGTAACTCAAACTGATTAATCCCCAGTGCTTCCTGGGTCTCAAACTTGAGATAGCACATCCACATTAGGGGAGCCTGCCTCAGACTAATTTCAGTGCTTCCCTGTAATGGGAACATGCTTATTTCCATTTTGTAAAATTGTGAGTTAAGTCAAATTTAGTTATTTTGAAATAGTTTTTCAACATAGACATGCCCTAAGTGGCTACTGATAATAGTATCCACTGCTCCTCTCAAGAACCTTTGGCATTTTTCACGTTTCATCCTCACAGATGCTGGGCTCAGCCATGGCTACAATGTGTTCCAGAATTCTGCCTCCTCTATAGTTTTCTTTCATAAATGCTGTAACCCACAGAGATCACCATCCAAGTAGTCTACAGAAATGAGGAGTCCTGTAGCACCTTATGGATTAAAAGAACGAAGTATAAATAAATGGTCACATGAAAGCTACTGTATACTGGAATCCTGACCATTTCTCTCGTCTACATGCCTCTAGTTTCCACCACACAATCCTTAGTCTACAAGCAAGCCTTAAGATACAACCGTGTCTGCTCCAATCCTTCAGACAGAGACAAACACCTACACAATCTTTATCAAACATTCTTAAAATTTAAATACCCACATGGGGAAGTGAGAAACTAGACTGGCAGAGCGAGATGAGTACTTTGAAGTCACCTACTACTGGACAGACCCAATCGGGAAAACAGAACACCACTGGCTATCACCTACATTCCCCAGCTAAAACCCCTTCAGCACATCATTGATGACCTATCCTGGAAAATGATCCCTCACTCTGACAGACCTTGGGAGAGAGGACAGTTCTTACCTACAGACTGGGTTCACTGAATAGTCAGGACATTCAGAAATTCAAAGGAAATGCTCAGAACTTGAGACCCCATTTCAGACAAATACAGGGCATTGAACAACAGCCCAGGCACAAGAGTATGGGATGATACCATAAGAAATTCTGAAACCCATGCACAGGCTCCTGTGTAGATTGTCTAGCTCTGTGTTGGTACTCAAAAGAGGGTAGGAGTCATCATCCTCTTACAACCTTCCACAGGAGGTCAGGCAGAGGTCTAGGCAGGAAATTGTTGCGTGGCTAGCCTCTGCAATGGGTGAGAGCCATGCTTGCTTTTTCTGCACCAGCCCACAGAGTTGGCCAGGTATAGGGTTGAGGGATGTCATTAAAGTAACACTCAAATAGATTCCCTGATCACATGACTGGGCACTGGAAATGGAATCTTAGGCCAATACATCTCTCGCATGACAGGGTCAATATTCACTAATTATAGAGGCTTCTGTTACATGTCAGAGGAATCCATGCTGTATTCTGCACAAAGATGGTAGAAACGAAGAGTTTTATACTACCTTAAACCAGAGCTACCAAAGAAAA